TACATATTCATTATATACCCCAGTTTAAAGGGCAGGATTTGGTAAGTTTGCCAAACTACAGTTATAAAATCATCCCCATACCATGGCATAGAACATTTAAATCAACTTAAATGTTTTAGGCTCATTTGTTGTCACAGCTTCTCTAGCATATACTACCTTTTTCCCCCTTTGTATGGGGTATTGGGGTTTGAATTTAGGGCCTCATACTTGCTAGGCAGGCACTCTACCACTTGAGCCATATCTCTATACCTTTTTACACTGGCTATTTTGGAAATAGGGTCTTGCTTTTTTGCCCAAGCCACTGGGCTGTGATCCAATCTACACTTTCCAACATCAAGTGAAATGACAAGCACACACCATTATGCCCAGCTTTTTTCCATTGAAGTGGAGTATCGTGAACCTTTTTTTTTTGCCCAGGCTGTCCTGGAACCATGATCCTCCTCAATGTCACCCTCCCGAGTAGCCTGGGATGACAAACACATGTTACCGTACCCAGCTCTAAATGGGCACTTCTAATATCATCTTTTGAGATAATAGTGAACTGGTAGGTCAGTCACAGGACTATTTTAGGTAGAGTGTGTCTTGATTTTTACCAAAATATTGACATAGTCACATAACTTGCCAATGAGATCTTAATATTTATAATTTCACTGATTCTTAGCTAAGAGACTATTACTTGTGTGTTCAGTGTTGAATGTAAATAGGTGACAGGTGAATTAAATCATCATGGCCTGTCCTATAATATAGCGGTGAAAACACATAATAAAGAAATAAAATAGATGATCTGGCTGCTTGGTGGAAAATGGATCTGAGCAGGAAAGAAAAGGGAGACAGGTCAAAATGATCACATTTACAGAAATTAAAGATAGTGTCTTGAACTGAAATGATGGCAGTGGAGATGGGGGAATAGAGGGATGCACATGCATTTGGGATATATTCTTGAGATAGAAATAATAGGACACTTGCCAATGCATTAGATATGAGGGATGAGAGATCAAGGATGACTTCCAGTTTCTGACTTGAGCAGTTGGCAGGACGGTGGGCCATTTCTACTCAGTTAGCACCAGTGGCTCAGATGAAGGCACACTGAAGATGTGAAGCTGATGAGGTGGATAAAACAAAGGAAGAAGGATTGCCAATTTAAAAAGATACCACAAGCCCTGAGAGATAAAACATAATAGAAATAAATGTAGACTTCTGCACTAAGCTTAAAAACAAAGTTCACAGGACAAAAGGCAGATTTAACCCAGTAGCAGTTTACACCCGAATTTCAGAAAGAAGGAAAAGTGTGATATGGCTGCCACAAAAATGAATCCTAAAAGAGGTCGCCTTAAAAGAAGTATGATGTCTAATGCAAAGAATTAAAAACCCTAGCATTCTTTGCACCTGTTTAGACAAAAAGTGATGCTTATATCCTTGGTACTTGTCTCAGCACACAGCCTTTGAAAAGATAGTTGAGAAACTTGACCATGACTGAGATGTGAACAGCTTGAACCCTCTCACAAGATGAACAGCTGAGAGCATTGGGGGTGCTTAAGTCCAAAGCACAACAATCAAATGAGCACCTTTGGGAGGACTGTTAGGTTGAAGAGGTGTTAGACTTCAGATGGATTGAAATAGATCTGGAGGGTATGAGGAGGACCTACAGATAGAAGAAGCAGTAGTGTTTTCTACTGAGCCTCATTTCCAAAGCACAGACCTTTCCAGAAACAGAAGGAGTGATATAATGTGTTCCTTGTCAGAAGACATTCTGCAGATGTGGGTGCCTATGTGTTGGCATGGAGCAGAGAGGTTTCCTCTCTGCATTCCTGTACAGCGTTCTACTCTACCTGGACAGGGGAGTTTCTATATGTCTCTCTATGACCCAGCGACCTAGAATTCTGTTTCTTACCCAGCCTCTTCCAGGATGTCCCTGCATCACATCTCGTGCTGCTGACACAAGGGCTTTTGAAAACTCCTGACCACATTCACAATTCTAACTTTCCCACCACCCCTCCCCCACCGCCCATGTGCAGTTACATGTTCTAGATCCTTCTGTCAAGGTTGGACACAAATCTGAACTATCAACACCTCAACAAACCAACTACCATATAAGAATGCCTTTTTAAGCAACTGGCTTTTGCCCTGACTGTTATTAAAACTTCTAGCCAATGGTTAGTTAGCCTTATGGAATCTTAAGTGATACCCAGATGAGCTGAAAAAGGAATCATTCGTGTTCCTCTTTGTTAGCACAAGAATACCGGCTTGTGTTTCTCTTCAAGGAAACCATAATTATGTGTTCGAATAACTATTTGGACAAATACGGAGACCATTATGCTCAAAACAGAAGTGTTCACATGAGCACCACATTCTCTTTTACTATTCCTCTTTGCTCTTTTTTTTTTTTTAGATGTCATGGTTTCTCTGTGTCAAGGCATCTCTGATTTAAGACTTTTTAAACCATTCGAGGATCTACTAGAGTCAATAAACAACATATAACTTTTTTCTAAAAATTGAAACAAAGAGGTGTACTTATCTAAAGTTTATGCCAGATTCTGGTATAGCTAAAGCATTCTTAGAATTTTATATACACAAGTTCCTTCTTAGTGACCTGATAAAGAGTTTTATTTTATATTAGGTTTTGGTCATAGACGGCAGATCTGGCCAGGCATGGTAGAGCAAGGATTTCCATATTGAGATCTGTCATTAAAAAAAAAAAGGAGGAAGATCTGTATTTGGGGAGGGATGGGACATATTCCATGTCATCTTCTATGCCGTGCAATATTATGTCATTAAACATGGGAACAAAAGGATTATTTTTGTTATTGTGGGAGCACCTTATTCTGTCCTGTTTAACTGTGGTGAGGAACATAGGGGAGCACCCTACTAAAGTCTGCCCTGTTCAACACTTCTTCCACTTGCAAAAGGAAAAGAGGGTAATGGGAGTTTATAAAGAGATTCCTTACCTCTGCCAAGGAGCAAAGTATCATCGCCAAAGAGATTGGACCTATAGACTATATAAAGAGGCAAGGACCCTGTGATTCCAGGGTTTTTATCAACTGAGGGATCACTGCAGATGTGTCCTCAGAGAGTTTCTTCTGCTATTAAGTTCCCAGATTCTCCCATAGGGCCTTAGGTAAGTCTACATAGATGTTAGTAATTAACCCTCATGCTAGGTGGATCTTCCTACATTAGCCTTGAGTCCACAGTAATGTCGCATCTTACTCTCCTGGTCAATGCCAGCACAATTCCAACAGGGTACATGGTCACTCCAGAACAACACATGACAGGTCCTAAGACGCACCCATCCTGTCCCCACTGGGAAGCCTGTTCTACCAAGTGCCTCCAGAGCCTGTTATCTGCATACTTAGTGTTCAGTATTCCTGAAAACACAGAGGGAACTTTGAGTGAAACTCAAAGCTTGTTTCTTCAACACAAATATTGTGTGTCTTATAAGACAGAAAAGCAATCAAACTGCAGCTTGATTCTGTATCTTTTTTCTATGGCAGAACTTATCAAATTCTGTTCTGTTACATATCTCCAAGCTACTGGGCTGGTTAATAAATGCTTGCTGTCAGTATCATGTCTGTCAATTAAAATAGATTATGAGGGACTCACTCTCTTCGTCACCCTCTTCACTTGAAACTCTTAGCCAAATAAATATATATCTGTATGCACTTCCTCAATAATCATAATTCATCTAAATTCCCCTTTGTCAACTGGACAGTTTGGCCTTTACCCAACGTGTTGGGTTTTCTATTCTTCCCAGTTTTACTTCTGGAGAGCTCAGTCTCTCTTTTGTTTTTTGGCCTATTTCTGGAGCCCATCTGTTCTACTGGTGACCATTCTGCACTCCTTAATGTCCCTGTGGCTGCACTGAGGCAGGAGAAGCAAAATGATGTAGATCTAGAGAAAGCTAAGGAGCAGTCACTCTGCCTGGGGCAAGGAAAGGCAGGGGAGGGCCTTGGAGCTGGCCCTAGAACAATGAGTGGTTCAACAGGTGTGCGGTGGTGGGGAAAGGTCAAGAGTAGGCAACCCACACTGAGAAAGCATGGTGTGCCAAGTGCCTCTCCACAGCACTTGTGAGGAAAATAATTGCCTCTAATTACTCCAACATGGAATCAGTTTCAGTAATGGATTGTTCCAGGGTTGTATTTCCCCTAGCTCAGGAAGTGAGTGGTTTCATATAGGGACTGGGATTTTATTTTCTTTTTAATAAATACGTTTTATTTTCAGTTACCATGTATGTTTTTACTAAATGATTCAGAAATAATCTATGTAATCTCCCACATCATTTTAACTGTGCTTTTTCTTTAAAAAGATATGATAATGAGCCCGGTATATTAAAACAAAAACATGAGTTAATCTTTTCATTATACGTGTCAAGATTTCCCAACTGGTTAACAGAGGCATATATTTATCTAAGAAGAACCAGGTGCAAAAAGAGTGGATTAGATTAGTATTATAATGTATAGATTAAACAGAGGTGTGGGGTGATAGATTATGTCATTTGGCTTGTGTCTTTCTATTAAAGGTGAGCAATCTAGACAGGGAAGAAGTTAACCAAGTTACCTAAAGTCCTGTGGTCACTCTCCCAAGGCCATCCCACAAAATCACTGTCCCCCATTCGCTAAACCACTTCCTCACCTGGAACAACCTGAGAGTATGCATGCCACAAAGTACAAAAGCTTTCTTTCATCAGGTGGGCTTAGTATCACCTCAGCTGAAATGTTCCCAGATACCTATTTGGGTTTTGACTTATGTAAAGGCCTGAACTGTAGAATGTTACTCCTGAGGCAATGTAGAGTTACTCAGATTCTAATAAGCACGTCTTCATCTGGATTTTCTTCTTTACTGAGGATTTTAGAGCAGGGTGACTAATAGAATCCACATTTTTGGTTACTATTAACACATAGTGTAAATTACACTTACCATGTAAATAGACCTTGGCTCTTCTAAAATGCAAGGTTAGAATATGTTGGTTTCTAGTTATCACAACAGGATTTATTTTCTTATTTTAGGATACTTTTGACTTCGGTGACATTGCTGTCTATCTATTCAATAAACCTTCTGTTGATCTGTTCCAAGGAAACAGGTAAGCTGAGAAGATGTCTATTTTATTAAACCCAAGGTGAATGATTTTCAGTGGCAGTAATTATGAAAGAATGGTGTTCTCTCTTGAGATAAATTTGATTATTAAAAAGAAAGACTACTTTGACTTTGGCAACCAAAAGACTTCTGGTGGTATTATGTAGGTAAACAGGCAATAAAATTGAAATTAAATTGTCACAGACAATGAGCAAATAGTGGACCTTCAGTTGTTCCTGTTTTTCTAGTTTGTGATGACTTCATTAAAAGATTTCAGTTTTTCCTTGAATCTTCATAAATCCTGAACAAAGAGCCCATGTTTCTATATATAGCCTCCAAGGTTTTAAAAGTAAACAGACCTTTTATTCTTTTTTTATGTATATTCCAAGGAGAAAATGTTCGTCCTGAGGCAATGTGGGAGTAAGTGAGCTACCAAGGACTGCAAGTTCTCTGGGCAGTGTAATACCTGAAGTGTTTATTTTCTATTCCTGGGACACTGGATTATGTTCGTAATACTTTGACTTTTACATTAGCTAAGACCACATTGGCCAGCTATTGTATACAGATGACTGGAACATTTTGTAATAAATTCAGGATCTAGCCATTGTCTAGTTTAAACACCAGTCTTATGAGAGATTAAACAAAGGTTTAATTATAGCCTGACCTATATTGCTTTCTCTGAACCTTTTGCAAACATGAACTGAACTGTCAATGAACGGTTTAAAAATTTAGTACTTATTGAAATGAGCTGGTTGACCACTTTAGAATTTTGCTTTAGCCAAATTACTCATTGGATAGATTTGTCTGCTGCTTTCTTTTGGGAGTTGCACTTCTTTGAACTAAATGTTACAAATGATCAAAATTCTTATGTAGTGACAGATGTCTCTAAGATTGGTGTTATATGTAAGAAGACAAAAGGGATTGATAGGATGTTATGAAGACAATGCTTTGTTAGCCTGATCAGCTCAGGTAACTCATTCAGAATGAATCTTTTTATTTCAAACATAAGGATCTTTTAAAAATCAAATATTTATTGTAATGCTACACATCAAACCTATGAAGAATGTCAGAGTGGGATTTTCCCCCAGAAGGGTAAAGATAGTTAAAGTAAACCTTATGTTCTAATAGTTAAATTGTAATACTTCTGTAGCCAACTCGAAAAAAGAGAAATGGTGGTCATTTCTCTGACATTTAAAAATGTCAAGAGGTTGGTTTATAATGACAATACCTTAACCTTTGGGAAGCCAAGATGTGAATTTACGAAAAGGACAAGACCTCTTAGGGGAATAGTCAATGGAATAATAAGAGCTTAGCTTTTTTTTTTTTTTTTTTTTTAACTTTTAGAACGTAGTTATTTCTTGTGTCCTCAAATGTGATTCTTAACTAGGCTGCATGGTTTATGAAAAGCTGGGAGAACAAGTCTTTGGCACCACAGGGAAGCTGGTAATCTTTGGAGCCACCTCTCTACAGAACACTGGAGGTAAAAAGAACATGCTTTCTATCCATAACTTTACAATATGTGAATGTTATTATCTTTTCTAATTCTGAGGGCTGGGCATCCTCACAAGATTTAGCATAATTAAAGCAGTTATCCTTGTTGCTAAAATGGCACATGGGTAGTAAAAGCAGAGACAGCAGTCACTTACTTAGAGGCAAAAACTCGGTAGGTGTAGCTCAAGCTAGCTGTGTGTCTTACAGAAGGTTAGTCTAAGAACGGGCTGGTAACATTCCCTATTGCAACACGAGCCTCAGTCTCATCTTTCTAAAAGCATTCTCCTCTTCCTCCAGCCATGCTGAGCTATCTCTTCATAGTAAAAAATGAACTCCCCTCTGCTATCAAGTTTCTCATGGGAAAAGAAGAAGCATTTTCGTAAGTGATAGACCATTGTTTTGGTAATATAACCAAAATGTCTTAAATTTAGATGCAGGCTGATAAAAGCTTTTGTTTTATGAGAGTTGTAGAGAGAAAATTTTTCCTAGGCTGTTTCTTTGTTGTTTCCACAATAAATTTCTTTGAGGTGATGTGAATGAAAGAAGGGGAAGGCATTGAATGTGAACATTGTAATCGCAGATTTCATCCATCATGCTGCAAATGGTGGAGAGTGAATTTTCCCAAGAGCTTCAAATCTATATCTAGTTTCTGTGAAACAGAACAGATAGGGAGTATTTTTATCACTGAAGTAGAACATGAAAAAATGAAGACCCTAGCCTCTTCCCTTAAGAAGGCTCAGGGCATTGGGGAGCAAAATTTACGTAAGCCAACCTCATTAAAATTGTAGCTGATCCTGGAAAATGTTGCCCACTACAGTTGGCACAGCAGTCATGTTTTGACTCCATGTTGAAGAGTTCTTGTCAGTCTTAGTTTTTCTGTTTTCCTTCAAGGAAAAACTGTAGAAGCCAGAGTTCCTTGAGTTTTATCCTCAGGATTGAAGGGCAAATCCAAGAGATTCGGGAAAGAGAAATGTCTACCTGTGGTGACTCAGTTCTCACTGATAACAGCCAAGCAAAACAAAAAGGAACTTTCTTTTTAAATAATTCATTGGACAAGCTGTAATCTGACAGAAAGCAATGTGTGCATTCAGTGTTGAAACCACATAAATAATTCCAAGCAATGCCACATTTAGCCAATAGGAGAGGAACATAAGCAAAAATAAGACAATACCCGTTCTTTCGTTATATGGGAACGAAGCAATAGTAAAGAAGTAGTGGTTGGGTAAAGTGTTTGAATAAAACCTAAGTAATCATCAAAAAGGATCAGTTAAAAATAAGTAGTAAAAATTAATTAAAATATATCATGAAGTTTTACATTTGAGGGTAAAAATTTCTCTTTCTAAACAAAAGATATAACCCAGCCGCGTATCTGCTTTTCAGAGCCTGGTACGTGGATGGCCGAGTCCTGGTGGTCCTGGTGACATTCGGTATCATCCTCCCTCTGTGTCTCTTGAAGAACTTAGGTGAGGAGAGATCTTACCTCTCTCATAGCCTGCACAGGATCCAGCAATCCGAAACGTAATCAAAACCAATAGCTTCCCTCCGCTTCCACTTGCAGGGTAACAGTTAAGTGAATCATAAATTTCAAGCATTAATCAGGCCTGACATTAATGTGAGCTAAAAACACTGGTCACAAAAAATAAATAAATAAATACAATACAAAACAGAAAAACCACTGGTCAGTATGTGAGGTCCTGGGCAGTCCCATACTATGTCCGTGAGGAGGAGAGAGGTTCTGGGGCCAGAAAAGACTCTGCTCTTTTCAGTGACACAAGCTGCTCTATGAAAACTCCAGAAAATAGAGTTCTCCTAAGAGGTATGTTTTTGGTTTTCGTTTGTTTTTTATTTTTGCAGTGGTGGGGAATCAAAACCCAGGACTCTATGCATGTTAGGCAAGTACTCTACCACTGAGATATACCACCAATATCCCCAATCCCTCTTAAAATTTTTTTGAGACAAGGTCTTATGGAATTCTTGATCCTCCTACCTCAGCCTTCTGAGGCCTGAGATTACAGGCACGTACTACCACACTCAGCTTGAGGTCTTAAATACTCTGATTATTTAAACAAATAGATTTTTCAATCAAATGTCAAGACAGAATGTTGCTTGTATTATACCCCAAAGTATTATGTATTGCTCTGAAATGTAGAGTGATTTTGCTTGCTGAAGACAGGGAAAAAACTCTAAAGTCATACCATCTGGTTTTATGTTTTGGTGGTCCTAGAGTTTGAACTTAGAGCCTCACGCTTGCTAGGTAGGTGCTTTACCACTTGAGCCACTCCACCAGCCCTAAACCATTTGGTTTTGACACTTGTTTTTATGCTTATATTTGAAGACAAGCATGCCAGGTGTTGTGGGAATCTCATATACTGAATAATGAGGCCAGATTTCCATCTGGTCAAAAACCTCTAAGATGCGTTTCCTTTTAATCTGGGCTAATCCGAAAGTGTGGATTAAAGTCTTCTCAAAAAATTATGAACCACAGTGTTTTGTTTTTGTTTAACAAAATGTCAAACCTCTTGAATCTATGGAGTTTTTAAGTAGATTTTTTAAAAAACCTCTTTACTTAATTTTCTGCTTTCTGGATCTGTGTGTAAGCTTTTCTGTTGTGCATAGAGGTGGCTCTTTTTAGTGTGGATAGAGAAAGGTCCCCCCAGGGATGAGAGCAGTGTAGTTCCCAGGAGGCCACTCTACCTTTCTGAAGGTTTTGATGATAGTCATGCAACTCTCCCAGGCATTCTGAAGGGATGGAGTAAAGGTCCTCAGATGCTGCATTTGTAGAAATTCCCATTGTCTACTCACACATTCCTCTCTTCTGGGTAGAGAGTGTTGTAACTGACATTCAGTATGCATGCAACACGTGTACAATAAACAGCTACCAAGAGGGTCAAGGAATAAGTGGATTTGTCCAAAGTATACCCAGTGGAGACTTAGGGCCAAAACTAGGAGGTTCCATTTCCCTTGGATTCTGGAAGTTGTGTTTTCTGGTGTGCCACAGAGCACCTGAATCAAAACACATACTGGAATGCTTTTATTCAAAGCCCTTTTTTTTGCCAAATTAGCACTACCAAATAATACATTTTGACTTCACATGGCCATAAATGCGTATTACTTAGTCCCAAACTGTGCTTGAAGTAATAATACATTAAAAGAAATGAGCTGGGCATAGGGTGGTTCATGCCTATAATCCTAGCTACTCAGGAGACAGCGATCAGGAGGATCACGGTTCGAGGCCAGCCTGGAGAAATAGTTCATGAGCCCCTATCTCAAAAAAACCCTTCACACAAAAAGAGGACTGATGGAGTGGCTTAAGGTGTAGGCCCTGAGTTCAAACCCTAGTACTGCTGAACAAAAAAAAAAGAAACGAAGTAATAACTAAGCCACTTCTTTGAGTAATGCCATGTGATAGGAGCTACAGAGGTTAATAAATTCTTTGTTTTTCTCCTTTTTTAAAAAAAAACAAACTAATGAATGAAGTAATAATTTATTTTTTGCTTTTTTTTAAAGGGTATCTTGGCTATACTAGTGGATTTTCCTTGAGCTGTATGGTTTTTTTCCTAATAGTGGTAAGTACTAACTGAATGGTTGGCTTGGTTTTGACATAATACAATGCCATATGAAATTACCCATGATTTGGCTTCAATAAAATCTGTATTTTTAAACACCAGGTTATCTACAAGAAGTTTCAAATTTCCTGCGGTGTTTTGGAGTTAAATTCAACATTAAGTACTAATTCAACAAACACTGACACGTGCACGCCAAAGTATGTCACCTTCAACTCGAAGGTAAGTGCCCTTATCCTTTAAAAGTAAGGATGAACATTTTCGTTGGAGGTAGTTTATTTCTCATACTTGTAATTATAATTTTGAATGTGTTTGTCCTTAAAAGAACACACAGTACCACAGCTTCCATAGTCACAATGCATTCAGAGTCCTTTCAGAATGAAGCAAATGTATTTCACCCTCTCTTTTACCTGGCTAAAGATAGCCAAGCATTCCCTGTGAAAAATCTTCCTGTGTAGAGTAGTAGGCAATGCTTTTAAAAGAGATTGACAACAGCTTCTTATATGTTGGTGAAAAAAAGAATATTGTAAACGTCAGCTTGCACGATTGAAATGTAGATGCCACCACACATTAACACTTAAAAGCCTTCATGCTGTTAAGATTTGGTTGATTGTCTGTGTAGTCAGTCAGGCTTGGATTGCAGTCCTTGGGCAAGCAATCCTTGTGTAAAAATGAGGATCTATCTGTATCTTGCAGGTGTGTTGGAGTGTACCTGGCTCAGAGTTAGAACATAACATGTGTTACCTTTCCTTCCTTCTCTGCCAGCTTCTTTGTGCATTAGAACTTGGAGAAGTTTTAAAAATCTTACCTGAGAAAACAAAATAGATCTCTCTTTTTTAACTCTAAGGATTTAGCCAAATTAGTGAACTGTGGAATAATTTTCTTTTTAGATTCTGTCTTTTAAGTGTGCTTTGACACACCTGACAGAGAGCAATGAGCAGTCACGTAGAGGTGGAAGTCCCGGGCAAGTCATCTAACTTGTTGGCTACTCTCTGCTACTCTGAGATACTGTGGGGACCCAGCAGGAGGGCATAGAAAAAGCCCCATGTGACTGGCTAGTGCCACATAGACACAGGTGTTGGCGTGCCTGGGGTACATAAAATGCACCATAGGGGCAGATCTCGAGCCCCTCTGTGACAAATGCCTAATGACTGGAGCTAGATAAGCCCCCTTAGGAAAGCTACTCCTGTTTTAGGGACCAAAACCCTCCTGCTAACCAAATAATACAGGGATTCTGATGAGCTGCCAGATGAAAGGCAGTGCAGAAATACTGGATCTGCATTTTTATGGTAAGATTGTCTTTTCTTAATGTTTGTATTTTTTCTTTCAAACAGACCGTGTATGCTTTACCAACCATTGCATTCGCATTTGTCTGCCACCCATCGGTCCTGCCAATCTACAGTGAGCTTAAAGAGTAAGAGACTTGTTCAGTTTTTATATCTTCCTCATTTATTACTCCCTCATTAATAAGCAAGTTTTCTGTTAAAATAAACAGACTTGTATAATGAGCAGATTCTACAAGATTCATCACCCAGCTTTCATATTTACTAGCATTTTGCTAGTCTTCTGCAATTCTATTTTAAGAAAAATCAGAAATCTGCAGTATTTTTTGGACATAAATATAAAAAGTGGTCAACCGTATGGTCTTCTTTTTTTTTTTTTTTTTTTTTTCTGGTACAGGGGTTTGAACTCAGGGCCTCACGTTTGCTAGGCAGGAGCTTTACCACTTGAGCCACTCCACCAGTCCCCATGTAGCTTTTTAGTTAATTTGTTTTTTCAACTACTGTTCTTGTTAAAGAGAGCTCAAGTGTTTGTGCTGGTTTTTGTCACTTATGCTTATTTTGAAAGTGGATGATTATCTGCAGATTTCATATGTAAAGTGCTAAATGCATTCTCTGATTTGCCTGTTGGTTTGGGTAGAAAACCACAATAAATCAAACCATTAGAAATTAATGTTAAGACCACAAGCTAGAAAGAGAATATTGTTCATTTGAAATGATTAAGATGGCTTTAGTTTTGATTGTCTTTTAGAGAGGACAAAAGGCCTGCTTTAAATTTTCCAGGTGTTCTTTTCAGCCTACTGTGAATCAGACTTATTCAATATAAAAACAGGTATCATGGCATAGTCTTAAGCTCAGAAAAGACATATGATATAGCTATTTATTTCCACTTTGAGCAAAAGTTATGTCATTTAGTATTGAATTTCCTCTCGATTCTTCCTCTTTTATACTTAATACATGGCTAAAATTTGAAATATCTACATCTGTGTATATATATATATCATTCCTACTTTATGATCCTATTTCAGTGTCTTTGCATCTTTTTTATTTTATTGTTTTTACATTTACTCACATGTGTATACATTGTTTGGGACACCTCTCCACCCCACCCCACCCATCTTTGGCATCTTTTAAGTTTAATGTCCAACATTTAATTTTTAATATTCTCAAGTGTGTACTTCTTAATTTTCCTTGTTTTTCATCCTCCCATGACATCCCACTTTCTCTGTTAGGACACAACCAATTATGTTATGACTATCTGTGGTCTGTTATGAAGTACAAGTCTTGTAGATTCATTATTTGAGCAGTTAAAGAAATGGAAAAGGGTCATCCCAACCCCAGAGTAAACTTGACATGGGAGATAGAACCCACCACCATGGTGACCTGTTGGGTAGATATTGCTCTGAAAGGTGAATCCAAGGGGGCTACATGGTGGGAACCCAGAACCCAAATAGCACCTTTAAATGCACATTCCTGAGGTCAAGCTCCTGCTCGGTACTGATCTCTAGGGCTGAGAGAACACCCAGATTTTTTTCCTATCTTTTTTCCTGTGCGTGGACAGTGTAGAGATAATAGCAAACACAAGTATTAAAAAATACTGTCTGCCCTTCAGATGAGAACATGATATTCTTTTAAAAGCATAGAGAAGAACACTCAAGGGATTGTAGTTCATGGATCCCTGCCTCAGGTACTCATTTTTTATTAAAGTTATTCTAAACCAGCATAATTGCTGGGGGGTCATTTCAGCTGGTCAGCTGTGCCCTCACCTGAGAGCAAGGAAGTTAAGCAAGTGTGTTCTTCAGTGTTAACCCTAGTGCTTCAGTTCAGGAGTATGATTTTAATTTTTCAAATTCCTTTGTCTTTGTTTTCAGCCGATCCCAGAAAAAAATGCAGATGGTTTCAAATATCTCCTTTTTCGCCATGTTTGTCATGTACTTCTTGACTGCCATTTTTGGCTACTTGACATTCTATGGTAAGTAACTTCTGCTGATAGATACATATAGTTTGTTCCTAAAAGAATTAGTGAAAATTAATACCAAAGTAATTGCTAACATTGAGGCCAAAGAGAACCACAAAGCTACGCATTGGTTTTGCTGGGGTTGTTTTTAATTTTTTTCTTTTTTACCAATGATGATGGTTCCTTCTACTACAGAGTGCAGAATAGAATCCTTATCAAGACAATATAGTGTAACATTCATTCCCCGAATAGTGTCCTTAAGAGAAACTTGAGCATGCCATTTTAGAAGTATGCCATTTTTACTTCAGAAAGTTTAAAACTGTATTAGAGAAGGCTTTCCTAATTGACACTGCAAATTGGGTCAGATTCCATTAATAGAAAAGAGAGACAGAGACAGATGTTAAAAGTGAGAGAAAGAGCCAGGCGCGTTACACTCATGATACTCTCTGTTAATTAAAAATAAATAAAACACCTAATTGTTCACCAGAATTTGGAGCCTGGCAAAGATTGGGAAGGATGACATAGACAGTTAAAAGAAATGAAATCTGAGGAAGAAAACCAGGTTTCATTTGTAGCTGGTACTGGCCCTGGTTGAAGAGTTGCCTGCCTAAACTACCTCTTCATCCTCTGCTCTTCAAACTATCCTGCGGCTTTCAGATCTTACACTCATAGTATAGCTTGGGACCTGATTCAAATATTTCACAACCTTCTCTATTAAATGATAATTCTTTCGGGTCATTTTATTCTCTAAAGATGTCTCAAAATTTAAGCACATTTAAGGGTTACTTCAACTTGGTAGAGAAAGATTGCTCTAATTATATGGCTGTATTGTGAGCATTTTCACTAGCATCAAAGAATAACATCTTATGGATCTGTAGCTGCCACATTTAATTTTTGGATAAAATTAGTGTTTTGTGAAGTTTACACAGAGTCACAGCTAAGGGAGGGAGAAAGAGAACTGATGTCAGTCGAACCGCCTCATGGTGCCTTGTTCAAGCTATGATTTTTCTTTGTAAACCCATTTTCTTCACCTACAATAGAATGCCATCCCCTTTTATACACTTAGATTATAGAAAAGGGCTCAGCTATTTTTAAGTGGTTTTGCATTTTGAATCAAGAAAATTAGAACTCATGAGATTTTTATTATAATCTTTGGTCCTTTTACAGAAATTGAGTCTAGCTTTGATTTTGGATTGGAATTGTGCAGGGGATCAAATCCAGGGCTTTGTGCATGCTAGGCAAACATTTAACCACTGAGTTACATCCCCAGCTCTGGATTGGCATTCAAATTCCACACTCAGAGCCCTGAGATAGGCAGTAGGAAGTCCTCAAAAAGAGATATGAGGGAAGTTGAGCTCTTGTCCAAAGAGTAAGAGTTTCCATGCTTGGCTGTGGCTGCCATTCCACCATTGGTAGACTTTGAAATAGCAATAGCTAAAGTTGTGAGCTGAGAAAAAGTCAAACTAGTACATACTCTAAATATTTATTTACAAGAAAAACATAGCACGTAAGAGAAGAATTTTTTCCTGATGGCGGTTAAGTTAGATTAGTACCTCTGTTGCCCAGTTACCAGAGGAGAGTTGGAAGGCAAGAATCTCATGTGGCCTCAGTCCCCCAAGACGATGACCATTTGGCGTGGCTTGAAGAGTGACTCCCAGTGGGAAAAAGTCTAGGTGAAGAATGCTTGTGCTTCAGCCATATATATTATTTAGTACACATGAAGGACTTCCAGGTGTGCAGCTTCTTCTAGTAATGATTTTGCATTCCTTTTAGCTCTAGTTACATAAGAACAGTGAGCAGGTCTCATGTGGCATTTTTTTTTTCAATGTTATAAGTTGTTTTAGCCAGGCATAGTGCCATATGCCTGAAATCCCAGCTACTCAGGGGGCAGCAACAGGAGGATGAAGAGTTGTAGGCCAACCTGGGCAAGGTTAGCAAGACCCTGTCTCAAAAACAAAACACAAATAAAAAGACTGGGGGTGTGGTTCAAGTGGTAGGGTGCTTACCTAGCAAGCATGAGGCCATGGGTTCAGGCCCTAGTACTGAAATTTAAAACACACACACAAAAAAGATATTATAAATTTTTCTAATAGATGCTTCCAGACATTGCCTTCCTTGCCCATCAGTTTATAAATTCTTGGTTGTTCAGGATTTTTTTGTCATTCTTGTTATTCATCAATGTACTTTGTCTCCTTTTTAAAAAAAAGTTGCCTTTTTATTTAACAGATTTTCTTTCTTTTCTTTTTTTTTTTAGCAGTACTGGGGTTTGAACTCAGGCCCTCAGGCACTTGCTAGGTAGGCGCTCTACCACTTGAGCCATGCCACCAACCCACTTGTCTCCTTTTAAAACCTTTTTACCACCCTCATTTTAGAAAACGTGCAGTCAGACCTCCTTCACAAGTACCAGAGCAAAGATGACATTCTCATCCTGACGGTGCGGCTGGCTGTCATTGTGGCCGTCATCCTCACAGTGCCGGTGTTATTTTTCACGGTAAGTCGAAGGCCTCAGTGGATCTGAGTGAAGCTAGGGTCTTGCCTCTCCTTCTGCTTTCATGACTTCTTTCCAGAGAAAGCCTAACATAGGTGACTAGCCTGGCCTAGCCCTGGGAAGGAGGCCAAGATTGCACACTCTGTAGCAAGTGAGATCAGGGAGTTGGGGTAGCCTCTATGGACTAAATCTTAATTCTAATTATTTTGCCCTCTTTACAGAAAAATATAGTGTTTGAATCTCAGTCACCCAAGAGAAGAAGATGTAGAAAGACCAGAAGAGAACACTCAATCTTAGTTGAATCAAGGACAGAAATCAGTCTAGCAAAGGAAAATTCTTCCTATAAGATAAGAAAATACTTTGCAGTTCAAGTCAAGCCCCCAGACCTCCCACTCTTATTAGGTCTCTAAATTCACCAGGCTTGCAAAGCATTTCACCAATTCCTCTGCACCAGTAAACGGGTTATCTGCTGAGAAATGTGCCCATCAGATCCTTATAAAACCTTTGTTTTCTTTTCTTACAGGTTCGCTCGTCTTTATTTGAACTGGCTAAGAAAACCAAGTTTAATTTATGTCGTCATACCTGGGTTACCTTCATACTTTTGGTCATTATCAACCTGTTGGTGATCTTCATACCCTCCATGAAGGATATTTTTGGAGTCGTAGGTATGGCTTTATGACTTAGCAAATATCATTCTACAATATACAGCAGCTGTCTAAAGTTAAGATTTCACAGTAACAACCCTGAACTTGCCTGTCTTTTTTTTTCTTATTTTGTAGGAGTTACGTCTGCTAATATGCTTATTTTCATTCTTCCTTCATCTCTTTATTTAAAAATCACAAACCAGGATGGAGATAAAGGCACTCAAAGAGTTTGGGTATGTCTCTTGCTAGCCACTTAAATATTTCTGATTAGTTTCTACTTAAATTTAGCCAATAAATAGATCATCTCTCTACCATCTACTACTACTGTCAATTGCCTTGAAGGGAGACGTTAACCATGTAGTTTTCCTCTTGGGGAATTATACAGTTTCATATCAAAATCTTCCCCATTCCCCTAGAATATCTTTTTCCGGTTTTTCTCTCATTGCACCTTGGCTTATGTTCTGATCTGGGGCATGGCTACCTGGGAGAATAGATGTTTATATTCATGTGTTTTTGTAGGGCAGTGTCTTGTCTTTATAATGTAGAAAGGAACTCCAAGACCTGATGCAGTCCACTGTTCTTATGCAATTTTTCACCATGTAACTGCAACCCAGGACACAGGCCATGTCTTAAGTAAAATGTCTTGAGTTAGCTTAAAGAGTCTTTCTATGATTTGACAGAAATGCTTTGGAGCAAGCAGACCTGGATTCAAAAACTACCTTTCTATATTGGGATTCTTGTTTCCAGGTCTGGTGAATTTCAAGGGCATCTTGAAGGTGGTGCACTTGGAGACAGTGAGGGAAGCAGGGGTGAAGTGGCTGCTACCTGAGTCCCTTCTGGAGCACCATTTTGCTTGGCCTCGGAGAAGGCTTCTCAGCTGCCCTCCCAGATAGTGTAAGCACATGTCACCCTGCAATTGCACATGTCACCCAAGTCACCAGACCCACAGGAGGGACCATCCCTGTGCATTTAGGAAAAGCATCACTGATGCCAGTAGAGCATCTAGTTCCCTAGGAGGATTATCTCTGAAGACATGAATCAATCCCAAATCCTTCTAATCCTTACTGGGGGAGTCTTCACAAGGACGGAGAGGAAGGAGCAGTCACTTTGGCACAGTAGTGAAATCTACTGGGTTAAAATCTGCATGTGGTGTAGGCCTGTGGCCCATGAATTCTTGGGGCCACTCCATGCTTGCTCCTGTAATAAAATGAGGTCTATCAGATAGCATTAGCAAAGGGGTTTGCCTGTATAGGGACTTCTGGAAGTCAGACTGCTCAACCCCACCATTGCCTCCTCTCCTTCCCTTAGCTCTACCTCCCCTTCCAGCTCCCAGGCCAACTTATGCTCTGATGAGGCTTCATTCCTCCCTGCAAAGCTCTCATTGGATGTTCCCAAGGTCAAGCAATTCATAATGTCATGTTCTGTGGGTCCTGGACTTAGTCATCTGTTCACCTGTGGCCTTCACCAACCCTCCAAGTAATTTAGTTTTTGACACTTGTTTCCAGTTTCACTCGATCAAATCTACTTTGTTTTTGCATGAATTTGTTCTACTTTTTTGAACAGAAATATTATATGTGAATGATAACCTGGGTTAGTAGGAAGGAATGACCTGAATATTTCCCAAGGCTTTTCTTTTTTAAACTTGTAATGATCTCAGCAGAGGAGAAGGCTAGAAGGATAACAGTCATTTATAGAATGAATACACTCAAGGTGACGGTGAAGTCGAAAGACAGAGTATAGAGGACGGCTCAGTTTAGCTTGGTTTTCATGTTTTCCCATTCTTACAGAATCAGATTTACACAGTTTTACAATCTCATGATTCAGCAATGTTTGCAACAAACTCTAAATACAAGGGGACACAAAGGGAGATGGCAAAGGTTTCTGTTTTTTTCTCAGGTGCTTGGGGAAAATGGTGGCTGTGCTGAAAATAACACATACTTTTCGTTGCTCCAGGCGGCCCTCTTTTTGGGGCTAGGGGTGTTGTTCTCCTTGGTCAGCATTCCCCTGGTCATCTATGACTGGGCCTGCTCTTCAGGTAGCAATGAAGGCCACTGAGACCAGCTGAGAAGAGAAAAGCATTCTGGTCTGCTGCTCACCACATCATCACACATCAACAGCCCCTCGTCACTTCTCTTGCAAGTTTACAGAAGCAAACAAATGTTCAAGATACTTAAAATGGAATAACACTTTGGTAGCAAAACAGAGACCTGTTTCTACAATGGTTCATGTCCTTCAAGACTTGAGATCTATTTAGGGATTGCAAAATTTTTTTTGGGGGGGGTTAAATTTCATGTAATCATCTTTTCCAGTACTTTTCATAACTGATTATTTTTCACTCTCCTAACTCCGTGTTTTGTGGCTTCATAGTCTCTTAAGACTTTAAAAACATGATCAGCCATCATGTTCATTTATTAGACATGCAGATTCTGAAATGATTTTCCTACTGATGTTCAGCTCACACTAGCTGTATCTTTTTAGAAGAGAAAAGAATCTTGAATTGTATATATTTATTTTGCTTTACAGAAAAAAATGGTTTCATAAATAATTTGCCTATTTTGGTTAACACAGCACACAGGGATAATTGTAGGAGAATCGCAGGGCACGTGCCATTGCTGGATCTGAGTATGCCCAATATTTGAGGCAGCTCTGATCACCTGGCAGCCGAACTTGGGCCTTCCAGGGCTTTCAGGGACTCCATCCCCTCCCACTCAGAGACAGTCCCTGTGAATGTCCTCAGCTGAGAAGGATGGGGATGGTACCTTGATAAATCTATTTAACTACACATTTGGGTAATCTAGCAAGGTTTCATTTTCCTCTTGGCATCCTGTGTCAAAGTTTGTCTAGTCTGAATCTACTACTGTGCTACCTGCAGTGAAAAGAGAATCCAAAATGCCTAAGAAAATATTCCTCTGATGCAGATGGCCTTCAACCCTGCACCTGTGTTGTTGAAGGGGAAACTTAGACTATAAGCCCAGCAGCATTTAGTGATTTCCACCAGCTTTTTGCAACAGAAAGTAATGTGTCCCTAACTAAGGATGATTGAGGACAAGTCATTCCTGTTTTATATCGGATACCTAAGGGGAGTCTTTAAAAAAGACTTGTTTTATATCTATAAATCTAGGTTATTACAAATACAAGATTTTTGTACCTTAAATAAGCCTCATTTCTATTTCTTCTCCGTTAACTCTCCATCCCATCTTGAAAAGAAACCCTCAGAGATAGTCTTTGTGAAGAGCCTCTTCTGAAATCACTGTGTACCCTCCTGTCCCCAGACAGGAAAGACAAGAAGGCCTCATTGTCTGTGCTGTCTCCTCTCCTCTTCCTACTGCTGCCTGTCCAGTGTGACCCACACTTGAAGACAGAGTTGCCCCATGCTCTTACCCCAGTCTCTCCTAAAGGATGCAGAGGAAAATTATGAAGACTGAAAATGAAGAGTTTGGGACAAGCTAGCTGGGAGAGGGATGGGGGATGCCAAGGGAACCCAGAACAGCACCCCTACCTGTGACTGGGCCAGCCATACCCATGTGTGCTAAGCTGTGTGCATGCTCTGTGAGCTGTTCTCTGGAAACAGGTCTTGTGTTTTATCTACATGTGTTGAATTCTCCAAACACAGAAGTTCACTGAGCACAGATTTCATATCTGTAGATAAGCAGAATCTTACCGTCTTATAGACGGTTGGCAGAGTTTCCAGGCACTTAGCTCTGGATTCTGTTCCTTTCTGACTCCTGTCCCCAAAGGCCTTCACTCTCACCAAAAGTCACATGGAACTGACCCCTCCTCTTGCAGACTAATGTTCTACAGATAAGCAGGCTTCAAAGCACCTGCTGCCATTCTCTTGGGGGAGAATGAAAGGTTATTTCCTGCATTGCATCATCATAGCTTTCAATATAGTACTACAGAATTACATCTACGTCAGGTCCAGGGTTCAGGCAGTTAGATTTGAACACGTAACTGAGCTATGGATACCTAACCTAGTAAAATCTACAACCAGGTCTGTCTTTTTCAAGTGTTTTCCACATTACAGAAACCAAACAAAACAAGGTTCAGTCAGCCTTTGGAGATGCTTAGAGACCAGGAAATGAAATCGTCAGGTAGTTGGATAACCCTACATTTAAAAAAATACATGATTTAGTTTGCAAGTTATACGATGCTCTTTTCTATAACGTTCATCTTACATTCACAAAGTGAATTCAAAAAATTATTAACTCTGGGATGTTGTAGTCATGGTTTTGGATCTCTGGATTTTATGTGACAGTACCAGAAATTTATTATTTAAAATATATTTATTTAGAGGAAGCACATTGTTATAGATGTCTGTGATACCACCTGTTTTTTAAAACCTTCTTTGTGTGTTTACCTAAGTTTGTTTTTTGAACATAATAGACCCTAATGCCTATCCAATATCACTGTTTCAATCCTTGTTTGTTTGGAATTAAGTATAAAAGTGTATTGCTCTTGTTATCCTTGTTCAGAATAGTGAACTGGTAGCCAAAACATACATGTATCACAGATGTTAGGTAGAGTTTAAACAGCACGGTCACGTGCTATAGACATTTCTCTGCTAAATTAGTAGATTAAAGAATCTTACACGTTAGCCACTGGAAGCAGCACGTTTTCCTCTAGTAGATAGGATCTCTACACTAGTGAACAGTGTCAGCTTTGTACTTTGGAGCTAGAACTATCCTCAAGTTATTGTAACAGAATACTGTAAATCTCTAATTAGTGTTACTGTTGGAGGTGGGGGTAACAAAACACACACAGGAAAATAAAAAAAAAACCTACTCTTTAGGCACATTTTGTAAGGAGAATATTTTCCAAAACTTTCTAGGTTGGTTGATTGCAACCTAGATGTGTTTTCCTTCAGAAATTGGGTTACATGTGGAGGTTAGGCCCCCAGACCAGCTAGAAAAAAATAACCGAACTCATAGTTGGGCTGAAATAGAATAATATGACTGCAAAAGAATCAAGTCACCAGATAGAATATAGTTCCTGGCAGGGAGGGAGGGTGTTATGTGCTCAGAGTTGCCAAGAATGTCACTGCTTCTTGTTGGTAGAATCTAGACTGCCCATCCTAAACACATGGGATAGACAGTGGGGTAGGGTAGCCACCAGTTAGAGGTGACCACAGTAGCCTGAAGCATGTCTGTAGAAAAGATGGGGAAGAATAAGTCCACAAAGCCTGGTGGTGGAGGAAGGGTGAAGGAGTATGAGGGGCCTCCTGGGTTGTGTAAACTTCCAGGGACATTGCTCAGGTGGTACCTTTTGTTTTTTCTGGAAGTCTCAGGCTTGGCCTGATTGCTTCCCTTTGTGTGACCTTTCCCTGTTCACTGCAGAAGAGGGACATAGCTGCACAGCATCCCCCCACTAGGCCAGCCAGGCAGCACTCAGCACCTTTAATGACTTCAGGTTTGCTAACCTTGATTTAACTGCTCAGTAATCAGAGGAAAAGTTTAAAACAAAGCTCTCCATGCACTTTCCTTTTATATTTATAGACCCTGTTGAGAAAAAGAAAGGCACGCATGGGGGTGGATTAGAGGGCCAAAGGTGTGTGGTGAAACTCCTTGGTATTTTGGAGGACACCCAGTGACTCCAAGGATTGGCTCTCCAGCCTCTCAGCTGGAGGTTCTCAAAGCAAGGCCCCAGGCTAGCAGCAGGTGCCATCTGTGAGCGTCCAGGGCCCAGTGCAGACAGTGAAGTTGAAGTCTGGGATAGAGAGCTGTTCTAACAGCCCTCCAGGTGATGCCAGTGGTATCGAGTTGAGACCAACTCTAAGCTAGTTAGTGTCTCCTCTGTTCCAGTTCTACCTCGGGAGTTAGGAAGGGCTCAGCAGGAGGGGTCTCTGTGAAGATCAGAGGGAGGAACTGTGGGGTCTCCATCTGGGCCATGCTGCTAGAGCTACACGAACACCTGCTCATTCCAAACACAGACTGCCTTGCACTTGGGGGCTGCTTTGGACTGAGGCACAATAATACACAGTTGTGAAGAAATCAAAATAAGGCTTTTTTTCTTTCCTTTTCTTTTTCCTCTCTCCGTCCCTCCCTCCCTTTTTCCCTCTCTCCCTCCCTTCTTCCCTCTCTCCTTTCCTTACTTCCTTTCATTCTTTTTTGGGGGGCAGGTAAATCAAAAGAAAATGTTTCTTTGTAAAACATAACCTTAGAGGAGATTCTGATTGCTGTCAGGAATCAGTTCTCCAGAATGTGTTCATCACAGGACTCCAACCTGTGCTCCTTTTAAAGGGAATTCTCACTCAGTGGTGAGCCCTCGCCTAGCATGCCAAGGCCCTGGGTTCGATCCCCAGTGCCACTAAATAATTAAATAAAAATACAACAAATTCTCTATTGAAAGACCCACACTAGTGAAGACAGTCCAAACTGCTCTGAACAGGAGGCAGAGCTCAGTCCCATCTTAGTGGGGCAGTATCGTCAGATGGTACTTTTAGTTGGAGGGAGAAGATGGTATGATCACACATTTGATTTTATGCCTCAGAGCAAAACCAATTAGTCTCCCTTTTCCCATTTAAATGGTCTGAGCAAATAACTCCCCCATTCAAGCAAATGTCTAGGCACTTTGAAAAATGACACAGACTAGAACTCCTTTAATATGAATAAATGGTTTTCCTTGAGGATGGCAGATCTGGAAATGGCAACAGAACATAGTTCCTCTAAAATACACTGAATTATTAATAAAGATATAAGGCTTTCAGATATAAATTGGAGTTAGGGTGGCTACCAAGTGAAAAATACCACTAAATCTAAATGGTAGAGTTCTTGGGAAACAATGTAATTCACAAGGAAGCTGACATCCTCCTTCCTGAGGCTTGAGTTTGTGTTCTTAAAGGAAGAAACTATGCAGCTGAGGCTTATTGTAGGAATATTTCATTTGTATGTAAATATACTGTAAATAAATAGGAGGCTGTATATTTTTGCAGTTGTGGATCCACACTGAAATAGAAGTCAGTAGTCCCTGCATATAAGGAATAAATGTTTTCATAGATATTAGTGGTTTTATTTGGGAACTAGAAAAAAATTACATTCTTTCCCAGGTAACATAGTTCTCTCAATTGTAAACCTGAAGCCTAAAACCTTACTTGTTTAGAAAACAAAATGTCTCAGAAAATAGCTGTGTTGATTTCTTATGCTGGTATTAAGATCAATTATTTAAGCAATAGTTCTTTGAGCTACAAGTAAGGAATATGTAGACCCAAATCATTGTCCTATAGAAACAGATGATACCCAAGTGACAAATTGTTTCTTCATAAAGTTCTTTTACTGTTACATTGATGCCACTACACAGTGTCTATAAAAACAGAAGTTAGGGAGGAAAATGTTAGGGTTTTTTTTTTTCCCCAAAAATTGAATTGCTGCCTTTCCCAAATTTTGGGATCTTTGCGGAGGGGGAAGATCTGAATGTTAACTATGAGCACAAATATGAAGGAAAAAGCCTGTTATTTTATCAAGTAAAAAGTCTTGCATGTTTGCCTTTTATTTTAGTGTTGGCACCAACACAGACTGTCTTATGTTTTTCCCAAATCACTTGAATATTGACCATTGGTACGTAACCCATTCTCTCAAGACCAGTGGATGTTAGACTTCATCTGAATCCCTGTACATCATTGTTTTATTAATGTAAAAACCTTGTAAATGAATTTCCAGTGCGTACCTTAAGTGAATCACAATCACAAAACTTTGCTATTCAGTTCATCAACTAGAGTTGTTTTGTTTTTTTTCAGGGTGTGGTGTATATAAAGAAATGTAAGGAGTTCTGTCCTATAACTGCTCTGTTCACATAGTTTTTAAACATTAAAAATGTGAATTAAAAGTACTTACAAATCTTGTGATGATTCTTTGGGGATGTCAATGCTAAAAAAGGGGGCAGCTGAGAACTACACACACCATCCAGAATCGCTGGAGAATGATTTGTACACATGTGTTATGGTTCTGGGCTGGGAGCTTATCTTTAAGAACCCTAACTTAACCTGGTGTGGTAGTGTATACCTGTAATCCCAGTGCTTGGGAGAGTGAAGCAGGAAGATTAAGAGTTCCAGGCCACCCTGGGCTACATAGGGAGAACCTGTCTCCCCCTCACCACCCAAAAAAAAAAAATGCCTTAAAATTACAAAACTATCAAAATCTGTCTGGTCTTACACATATATTAACTCATTCTTCATAATCAGAGTAAGTTGAACATAAGGACATAATATTTTCTTTTTTTAATTCAGGTTCATCTTTTTATCAATTTCTGTTCTATGTTGTAGAAGGGACTTTACCCACATTGCAGCCACCATCAAATAGGAAATTCTGTCAATGCTTGCATTTTTTAGGAGCCACTGAGGAGAAAGCTTCTCTGGCTGTTCTTTACTGTCATCTGCTCCTACCCATCAGCCTTTCTTGATGTGACTGGGTGTCAGCTCACCATGGTTCTCCCTGGGCTGCCCAAGCGACAACAGTACATCCTGCAGAGCTATGCTGCACCTGTGGATGCACAGTAGAAACTTGGAGCATGGCAGTCCAAGCTGAGTACTCCAATCTAGTTTCATTACGGATAAAGCTGGTATTTTTATTGTTACATGCCTCCTGAGTTTACTTAATTTATCAAAATCCCAAGGGCAAAGGGCGTGAGTCGGTAATTACCACTTTCAAATTCAGGCAGTGGGTTGTATATTAAAAGGCTGTTGAGAATTTGAGCAGATTTTGTTCTAAATCTTCAGTGTTTTGATAGTTCTGACTTCTTCCACGACCACTGCTGGAGTGTCTGCTAACGCTGTACTGGCAAGGGTGAATCTGCCTCTGCCTTGTGGAATAAACTATGGGCTCAGTGGAAACTGGGCCTCCAAAACCCAGCGTGCCTACCTGCTAGGTTCATCATTGTGTTCTGCCTGACTAGGATGGACTGAAAAGGTTAGATGAGCCCCAAATAATGGAGCCAATTTTTGTACACCAATTTTTAATCTTTCATTAGTTTAAGTTTTAGACTATTCCAAGTCAGTAGGATAATCTGCTTTTGTTTGGTAAACAATGCAAATGACCTACCAAGCTATCAAAACTTAAAACAGACTGGGGCTGGGCAGGAGGCAGAGATCAGAAGGATTGCAATTCGAGGCCAGCCCAGCAAATAGTTTGAGAGATCCTGTCTCAAAAATTTCCAACACAAAACAATGCTGGTGGAGTGGCTTAGGTGGCAGAGTGCCTGCATAACAAGTGTAAGGCCCTGAGTTCAAACCCCATATTGACAAGAAACAAACAAAACCAGATTGGTACTGGCACGAAACTTAATAAATAGATTATGACAGAGAACACAAACATGACCCAATAATATCAGAAAGGTGGCCTTTCAAATCAGTGGGGGAAATAAAGTTTATTCAATAAATGGATAGTTTTTGAAGAAAATAAAACTGGATCTCTACATTACCTTTTATATCTAGAGAGAACTCAAAATATATTAAAGACTTTAAACCACATGTGAGTCAATATATGTATTTTTTACAAGTGTAAAGCCATGACCCTTATAATCATGTCTCAAGATTTTTATTTAGCCCATTATTAAATGATGGAAGAAGATGTTTAAAAATTTCATTTACAGTGCCAGGTGTGGTGGCACACACCTGTAATCTCTGTACTCAGGAGGCTGAGGCAGGTAGATCACAAGTTCGAGGCCAGCCTGGGTTACACAGATCTTATCTCTAAAAAAAAAAAAAAAAAGTTTACAAGGCCCTGGATTCGATCCCTCACAAAAAGGTGGTAGGGGTCTGGGTGGGGGGGAATGGGACAATTAAAATAAGTGTGGAGGCTCTTGTCTGTAATCCCAACTACTTGGGAGGCTGAGATCAGGATTGCAGTTTGAGGCCAGCAGGACCCCATCTCCAAAATAACCAGAGAAAATGAACTGCAGGTGTGGCTCAAGCAGTAGAGTGCCAGGTTTGCAAGGGCCTCTATAAAACCCTGAGTTCGAACCCCTGTTCCACCAAAAAAAAGAAAACAAAACAAAAAAACCCTGGTCTCTTAGTTTTGGCCTGGTTATTTGCATGTGTGTAGTAAGACTGCTAATTAACCCTATAGGCTTCCTTGAATATGCATTGTAACCTAGAACCATGCAGTTCTGAATAGTTACCTTTAAAACTGTTACTTGCTAGCTCAGGGGTAGGGAAGCAAACCCAGGAAGCTACCATACTTCACCTGTTCTATTTATAAATTTGGACCATTTCCACTATTGATAAATTTGCTAAGGTTCCAGGCCTAGTGAAAAGTGCTCTTTTTTATCCCCACAAGGTTAGTTCCCTTCCTTTGGAACTACACTATAAGTTACAACTCTGTAAGTTTGGTTCTAGGTCAGTTTTCTGGGAGGGTTTTGTGGGCCTTGGCGCCATACATAGAACCAACTTTCTTCCTTAGAGTTTGGCACACCTGTCAAATGACCAGTATTCTCAAATATGACAGTCCAAGTAAGGCGGGGATATGCATCAATTTTGTAAGTTATATACTGGGAGAGAGACTTTTGTTGTGAAATGACTATATTGCTATAAAAAAGTAAGGGACTTGGTCACAAGTCAAGTTTTTCAACTAAGAAGTGGAGGACAGCTGATTGAAAAGCAGAAAAAAATGTTTAATTCTACTTTACAAAAGCAGTCTACTGGATTGTAGACTAAAGATAGCTTAGGAAGAAAGAGAAATGGCCTCCTTATATATCCAGAAAAGAGAGGTTTAAAACAGAATCAACGGTCACAGTAAGATTTTTTCTTCTCAGGTCATCCTACCCTTTGCAATTTTGTTTGGCTAGGTCTTGAATTCAAATTCTGATTTCATAAAGCTCTCTGCTCCTGGACTTGAAACAGTCCTATAACACTATAGTCACTCCCTGGGTACAGCCAGAAAGTTGTGTAAGTAATGTCAACTCAGAAGCTTGTCCCCAAGACTCTGCTTTCTTTGATGTATCCACAATGTGAGGTACTTTGCACAACAGTCCTTGTGACTGCGGGGCTGTCTTTCTTTGTTATGG